TCCCTCCAGCAGAGTGTGACGGTTGCAGCTGTGAGGGGAAGCTCAACTCGTTCATCCTGCATCAGCAGCAGAGAAGGGACTGAGAGCTGTGTGTGTGTGTGTGTGTGTGTGTTTTCCCCTTTCCCTTCGAAGTTCTAACTGGTGGCTGTTGAGGGGCTGTGGGACAGTGGGACGGAGCAGCAGGGAGGCAGTTGTCCAACCCCCACTAACCCCCATCAGGCACACAGCCAAGAGCCAGGACACACATCAACATGCATCCACACACGCTCACTCACAGAAATGCACAAGTACACTCGTGCCGACTCTATTTACCAGCGGGCCTCCTGGACACTGATACTCTGAGTCAGTGTTGGCTTGGGATTTATTTGTTGAAGTAAAATCAGTGCTCGCCACATTCAGTGAAGGCGAGCCGCTAAGTTCTGGGCGTCCGTATCAGCACTCGCCAGTTCTTTTGGACGGTGCATAATGGCTTTATCACTTCTGTTAAGTGTTTGTAATTGTGGGTGTGAAAGCATTACAAATCGTTGTTGGCTTAAGCTTGCTGACAGAAGGATGTGTTCGCAATTACACTTCGAAATTAGTTCCATTTCAGTACAATCACTCCATCTGTCACAGATGATATGTACTATATTTTAGTGGGAACGTGTAAACTCTGAGAATGAAATGTCCCTGAGAAAAACCTCATGACCAGACCTTTGACTCAGCCGAATTTTTTACTTCTCATCCCTTAAACTTTTTTGTTTTTCTCCTTTTTTCCAAAGGAGAGTCCTGAAGAAGATGAGTAAATGAATTAAAGGACATGTTTCACAGCTGTAGCCATGACCTTTGGTAACCTTTGTGTGGCTCAGGAAGTACAATGGGTCGTCCACAAATGTCTAAGGGCAAGGTCAAGATACTAAATCCCAAATTGCTCCCAGTCTGTGTATGAGTGTGCGGGGATGTTAAACTGAGTAGCAGGTGACCTTGCAAGGAACCTTGTACTGTAGCCACAGCCACTAGTGGGTGAATGTGACATGAAGTGTGAAAGTGCTTTGAGTGGTTGAAGGACTAGAGAGGTGCCATACAGTGCAAGTCCATTTACCATTTACCTCTATAAAATGCTTTCTCCTGTTTCCAGCTATAATCTAAAGCAGTGGCTCCCAAATTCTCCCCTTAAGGGGTCCCAGGATAGAGAGAAAAGTATATTTCTGTTGCACAAATCATGTTAATTTTTTCATATTTTTCTCAACTTTTTTACTTTGTTCTTTGAGCAATATTGGATACGTTCACTTCCTTAAGCCTCCACAAATCCTTCAAATGAAACCATCTAAAAAAGGAATACTTGAATTCCTTACAACTCATGCAAGGCCATAACTTGTGAACAGGGGTCACAAGCAGACACTGCCTTAGCGTAAGAAGTCACTGCCTTTATATCAGGCATTAAAATGCTAGATTCCAAACATGTTTTATAAGGAATGTTATTTAAAATGATCAAGGTCTCTCTTTTATGCCTCTCAGGTACTATCACACTCTGTTTTGTTAGATTCCAAAATTATCTCTTTTGTAAAAGAGATAATGAATCTTGAGAGACTTCCTTGTTGAATTAAGGTTCAATAAATATAATAAACTTGCTACATACAGAGTCATCAAGACTAAGAGTCTTAAGCAAGGGGTGATCTCCAGGTCTGAAAAGTGAAGTCATCGCGGAAGTGCCTTAAACCTGCTTTTATGTCTAATGACCAACAGGGAGTGACTCCACTAGTTGCAAAAAGAACTCTGATTATATACAAGTCAATGAGAAAATGAGCCTACTTAATTCATGATGTTCATTTTGTCAGTTATGGTCCCATTTAGAGTAAAATAGATGATAAAGCAGGGTAGGCTGTAGGGTGTGGCTACCTGTGATTGATTCACCCCTCGCTCCTCCATAGCTCCACCCTCTTGGTCAAATATGGTCACTTCTGTCTCTAAAAACCAAGATGGCAGCAGCCAAAATGCCAGACTCAAGGCTTCAGAGCAGTAGTCCATGAAACAAAGGGTGATGTCATATTGGTTACGTCATCTTTTATACAGTGTATGGTCTACAGTCATGCCAGCAGCTCTATGACACTGTACTTTGCACAGATGTGATTTGTGCTAATTGCTAATGCCAGCATGCTAACATGCTCACAATGAGAATGCTAAAATACTGATGTTTAGCAGGTGTAATATTTATATTTTTAGTAATTTAACATGCTAGCATTTGCTTATTTACACCAAATACAAAGTACAGCTGAGGGTGATGGGAATTAGGGGTGGGGCTCTCCAGCCACGTCACGATTTGATTGGATCACAATTCAGAGGGCTATGATTCGATGATAAAACAATTATGTGCATCAAAATAGTTGATGTCTATAGATTATTTTTCTCACTGTTTGACTACTTGATACTTTTGAAACATGGCATACTGCATTTGTAGTGATTAGGGCCGTAACGGTACATGTATTTGTGTCGAACCGTTCGGTACGTGACTTTCGGTTCGGCACGACCCTGTACTGAATTATTGGGCGTAGGATATTATTTTATTTTATTTTGTTTTATTTTAATTCCGTTTTTTGCGAGCCGAACCATTTAAAATATCTAGTTCCCCGACAGACATAATTGAGTGACGGACCGAGTCCGACCGTAAATCTTCGCTTTCACTTTGTGCAGCGCATTCTCGCATTTTGACAAGATGGCAAGTGAGCCTGACGAACCTGAAGACCCACCCGCAAACCTTAAGTCCTCCGTTTGGGAACACTTTGGTTTCAGGGTAAAATACGAAGATGGAAATAAACAAGTGGACAAGACAAAAGCAGTGTGCCGACACTGCAGAACAGCGGTCGGGTATGTACTTGGAAACATGTCTAACATGCTAACACATCTAAAGCGACACCACCTGAGTTTGAACGTTAACCAGCACGACTAGAAAAAGCAATCTGGTGCAAACTACGATATCATCATCGTTTTAAAAGAAAGAGCGTTTCCCTGACCATCGCGCTAAAGAAATAACCAACGCCATTGGAGTTGAGTAAAATTGTTTAAGCTGCACTTTAGATATAGGCATGTTTTGTTTACTGCACTTTAACAAAGTGGGAAAGCTAAGTAAGTTCCTAGTAAAACTGAATCTGAGCAGGCTTTAAAGCTGACCAGCTGCACTATACTTTTTATTTTAATTGAGTAAAACTGTTTAAGCAGAAATTTATATTTATATTTTTCATTCAAAAAATGTGTTAAAAAAACAGCAGGATTTTATTTTTCACTTTTATATTTCTATTTTCATTCAAACAATGTGAAAAAGCAGGATTTCATATTTGTTTCATTCAAAAATTGTGTAAAAAGAGTTAACCACTGTGGTGGTATGTTTTACTAAGGTTACCAATAACTAAAAGATATTTAATAGTTATCTATTTTTTTCATTACTGTACCGAAAAAAAAACGAATCGTGACTTGTGTACCGAGGTACGTACCGAACTGAGATTTTTGTGTACTGTTACACCCCTAGTAGTGATCCATAATAAATAGATAGATGAATTTACTTGCATACAATGTGGCTCTTGTCCACAATACTGCAGTATTTCACCGAAAATAGTTTGCAACCCACATACTGTTGAATAATAAATGGTTCACAGCCTTTTTATTTTGAAAGTTAACTGCACTGATCAATGACTTAATTCATATGAAAGCATCTTATAATCTCCTGCCTGTATGAGCATAACAAAATAAGGGGGATGCAGCATGCTGTTGTTTAGACATCTCCAGCAATGGAGAGCAGCCCCTACGCTGCGCCTTCAGCTTGCTAAAGACGCTGAGCAGCTCGCGCAAAGGTGTTTTTGAGGTGAAACAGACTGAGCAGTTATTTTCTTCGTCATAAAGGTGTTTTAAGTTGGTTAATGCTGTAGTGTGTCTTAGTCTGTCTCGTTTGTTCTCATTACTGCTGATGGCTACTCCTCTCCAGTAACCTTAGTCTCTGGGTGACGGCGTAGAAAGTATTTGAGAGAACAGTTCATTCAGTCTGATTAAATTAATGTAGCTGCCATGCCTTCTGGACGTGAGTCCTATTCAGTCGCTTGTCTAGCAGGCAATGAGCAATGCTGTACAATAACAGCAAGTGGGTGAGTGGAAAAAGTCAGGGATAGACGAGTGCTTGGACATTCAGCAGGCTGACCTGGTATATATATCAAACACTAAAGAGAGTCTTCAGAAAAAGATTTGTTCATTCATTTTCACCTGTCACTCATTAGTTTTGGACAAAATTACAACTTTAGCCTGATGGTGGCGCTAGATGAAAGTTAGGGATCGTCAGATTTATTACAATTTATCCAGAGGGGGACATGAATGTCTGTACCAGAGTCCATGGCAATCCATCCATTGGTTCTTGAGACTGACCAAGTGACAGTGCAACATTTCTATCCCTACTACCGTGCTGCTAGAGTGACTTAAAATTCGAATGAAAAAGTGACATCTCTAACCTTCTTCAAACCTGATCTTTTTCAATTTGTTGGAAAAAACTCCACTGCTTTGCTGTTATTTCTTTACAATGCTACATATTCCTTGTGCTTTCACTGTGCTGCTGTGACTTTGACCCTTGTGCTCCTTATTATTGTGTATGCTGTGGGAACATACAGTACTGTAGCAACACAAGCCTTTTCTGTAGAAGTATAATTATTTTACTTTTCATTTCCTCTGACTCAAAACTGTTCCTACAACCATTAGTGCAGGTTTTTTGTGCACTGATCAGAGTGTGTGCGTGGGTTGAAGGACATCAGGCAGATGGCCTTTTCTTCCCCTCAATCTTGAGAAGTGGGGGGCCATGTAGGTGTGAGCAGGAATGTAGAAGGACAGAGGAGTCTTTGACCAAGAGAGAAGTTTCTGCTTATTAGGTCACCCATCTCTCCCCATGCCTGCGTCTGTCCCCCTCCCTCCCTACCTCCATCTTTCTCCATCCCTGTTTGTTTCTTTTATCCGTCTCTGGATTCTCCACCAAGCCAATCAACAGACAGGGTAAATAATGTCAATACTCAGTTATCCGAGTGACAGGTTTACAGCATGAGACTGAGACTGGAATCGTAACTGTGCAGCAAGTTCGCACTATTAAGGTAGGCACTGCACATTCTGAAAGAAGCTGCATTTATCTGCAGAGCTCCAGTAATGAGAGTAAATCTCAGCTATCTTATTGCTTCTCAGGGATATCTTAGCCACAGTCTTGATTCCTTCAGATTAATATCAACATGTAGACATGGTGTGGCGGCACAGTGGCTTTGATCCTCTGGTGCTTTATCTACACAGTTGAACTGTCTCTTCTCTTTTGCTCTGAAATCCAGCAAAGCTTTGTGTGCTATCTTTTATCAACTCCTTTGATTTGGAATTCACATATTGTCTGGAAAATGTCCTTCCAGGTTGCCTTGGCTTGAGTTATCAAAAAAAAAAAAAATAGAAAGGGGGAAGAGAAGAGGCAGATATTCTGTCTGCGCTGTTCACGTAATTGGGCACTTTTTAGAAAGTGTTAAGATATGATTTCTGCAGGAAATAGTCATGAGTACATGGAGGTGAGAGCCGTAGCCATGGCAGCAAGACGAATATTGTCTGTGTCACTTTGTGGCATGTCAGTGAAATCTCTGCTGGTTTTTCAGCATCTTTGGAAAACATGCAGCACATACGCTTGACTGTGCAACGTCACATCCGATCAAGGCCGTAAATAATGCATGTTTAAAGCCTGACTCATGTTTTTGAAGTTTAAAGCGGGAGACAGACCCACCTAATGTGCTGCACTGTGGGCAGATACATGCCTGCGTGATGCAGATGTGTGCAGACGGAGATAATAGAGACATTTGCATGACATGATTTTTGTGGACATAATTTCCCCACTGTGATGGCTTTTTAATGTGTCTTGCAGCAAAAAAACATGAACTGATTTTTTTTTTAATATTTAATCAAGTTTATAAATACATTCCTCCAGGTGCAATGATGTATGAGTATGTCTTTATGTGAAACCCTGCTGGTTGCTATCTGAGAAAAAGTTGAAGAGGGATGAGGAGAGATTTGAGGTCGCCGACAGCGCTGTCTGTCACTCCTCTTCACTCCAAAAACAAACCTCTCTCAGAGCTATCTTTCACCCACAGGGTATCCTCTTGGTGTTAGCGGTGATGTGCTTGATGGTTGTCATTGTTCAACTCCATTTCACATCTTGAAGAGGCAGCTTTCCAAAGCAAACAAACAATCATTCTGCCATTCTGCTCTAAAACATCATTGTGTCATGTACAGCCTCTGCTGCCTCGATTCCATGTTTTAGGACGTGTAGGATTTAGTGGCGGGAAAAAGAAAGCTGCTAACCATGGTGGCTGAGGAAAAAACACAAAACATTTGAAAATACCAATGGCCCCATGTAGAGCCAGGGTTTTCTTTGACCATTCTTGGCTACTGTAGTGACATGGTGGTGCAACCTTGCGGACTCTGAGGACAAGGACCAGCTCCCTACGTAGGTATAAAGGACTTATTCCAAGGTAACGAAAACACAACATTTTCAGATGATTATACACTAAAGGAAACATGCCTCTCATCATATTCTATTTCTGCCAATGTACCACCTTGAATCCAACACACTGGACCTTTAAGTTATTATTTTTAGATGCCTTTGAGCTCAAGTGAGGTCCTGGAAGAGCTATATGCAGAGTCACATGTGACCTCTGATTACCAGCGAAGGGAAAGAGACGGTGAGAGCAGGAGTGAGTGGGAGAGATGTGCTGATTCAAGACTCACCTACACTAACAGGAGCTGTCTGAGGAAGAAAAGGGAGGAAAGGAAGCAGAGAGATAATGGAAGACAGGAGATGGTGATGATTCATGTGAAACTGAAAAAAAAAAAAAAAAAAATCCCATCCAGCCAGTCTGAGGTGAAGTGGTCTGTAGAACAAACTAGAAAGGTAAAGAGAAGACTTTATATGTACACAAGAGGAGAAGGAGGAAGAAGAAGAGGGAAGATGAAGATAAAGAGGATGAGTATACTGAAAGCAAGTCTTTCCCTCTGTCTCACTGGGGAGTCGTTCACTCAAATGTTGACTCTGCAACAAAGTTTTTTTTCTTCCTGCTTCATTTCGGGCTCAATTTGTTTTAGACAAAACACCTGAGCTCCAGAGAGAATCACTCAGAGAGAGGCAGTGAGGTAGTTAACTCTTTAATGGTCCCACCAAGAAAATGAACAAAAAACTGTTTTTCAACCCACTGATTTTATACCCCCACGCCTGCAACAGCTGCGGCCGGAGACATTATGTTTTTGTGTCATCCATCTGTCCCATTCTAATGAACCTGATATCTGAAGAACGTCTTGAGGAAATGTCTTCAAATTTGGCACAAACGTCCACTTGTATTCAATGATGAACTGACTACAATTAGGTGGGCAAAGGTCACTTTGACCTCACAAAACATGTTTTTGGCCATAACTGAAGAATTCACAAGCTAATTATGACAAAATTTTACACAAATGTCTAATAGGCTAAAATGATGACATGATGACATTTTATATCCAAAAAGGTCAAAGGTCAGCATCACTGTGACATCATAATGTTCTGCAAAAACACTTTTCTGACCATTACACAACTTCATAACTTCATACTGAATTGGTGACATTAATCTTGGGTGTCCATCTTGAAACTGTGCTGATTGTACAGATCGTCTGTGCTGTCTGGTTGAAGTTGTGTGTGAAGCATCCACGTTTTAGAATTTGTAGTTTCTTTGCAGTAGTATCCATTTTGAAGCATTTGACAAGTTTTTCCAGAAATCCCACTCCTCTGCAACAATTTCCAGCTCTTCCTGGGGCATTCCGAAATGTTTCCAGGCCAGATGAGACATACAATCCCTCCAACGTGTTTTGGATCTTTCCCCAGGACCTCCTACCAGTTGGATATGCCTGGAAAAGCGGGTGGGAGGTGCCTAGGAGGCATCCTGATCAGTTGCCTGAACCACCTCAACTGGCCCCTCTGAGTTCCTCATCCTGTCTCTAAGGCTGAGCCTAGCCACTCTTTGGTCACTCATATCCACGACCTTACCCTCCAAGAATTGCGATGTTAAAGTGGTAGAGGGGTTTGCGTGTCCCTTGGAGCTGTGTTGTCCAGAGCAATAGCTACTGGTAGGGTCTCCCAAAGCAAAGAAGTCCCAGGGGAGTGGCTTGACCATGAGTGACTGACCAGACCCTAATAAATCAGAAAGAAGGAACTGGAGCAACTGGCCCATAAAAGGGAAGCTGGGGCCCCCATCTGCAGCCAGACCTGAGAGGGGAGCAGGCCAGCAAATGTCTGGTGGCCAGGCCTTAACCCATGGCCCTGTGGGCCCACCAATCACTGGGATAGGCATCGAGGTCAGGCAAATTGTGATCTGGGCAGCCAACCCATCAAGTCATCAAACACTGTCCCTTTTGTCAGTGGACTTACATGTCAAAATATGATGCGCTAGGTACCCTTGTGCATCAGTTTTGGACAGTCACAGATGGCATCTCAATTGATACTTGTCACATGCATTGTGTCTTTTCAAAATACATCTTCATTTTCACAGGGAATGTTCAGTTTTTGCTCCTAACATGCATACAGTCTTTTTCAAAATAAACTTACAAACTAAGTAAAACACTTTAGGCAAATTAGTTTAGACAAAGTACATGGTTAGGTTTTTTAAAAAAACATCATGGTTTGGCTAAAAGTAAGTGCGGTTTGTACTAACGTAATGTCACGTCATGTGCCATACGTCATGTGATATATGTTACCAATGAAGCATGCTACACATATTAGCTCACTACGTTGTTATTGAAATAACTCTGTTGACTTTTGGTTTCACACAGGAAACAAACAGCGGGCTCCTGGATGAGAGTCCAGTGTTTGTTTGACCCATCCACCTCCCCTCTCAACTGCCCTACACAGACTTTCTCAGTATTGTTACCATGGCAGTTGCTGGCGGCGTCAGAAGTAGCCACCGTCCGGCCTGTATCATACTGTCACAAAGGGGCAGGATTTGACGAGTTCACTCGCTGCTGGCAGCGTAAGAAATAGCAGCTGCCAGGTGCATATCATGATGCTACAAAAGGTGCCTGTGTACACTGGTGTCTGACGCAGAGATCACTGACAAAGCTGTGGTATTTGACAAGTTGGAAGTGGGAACAGGCTGGAGCAGCAGGCAAGGACAAGGGTGTGTTTTTGTGAAATTATTACAAAGTCATCAAACTTTTTGGATGGGTCTAATTTGATTCTGCCCATTAAGCCAGGACATGTGCAAGGAGTGTTTTCTGCCACTAGCTTTATGAATGGAAGCCACCTGAAAAGCTCTGATTCTGAAAACCACAATGCACTCTGGGAATTTAGCTTGGCCTAGAGGTGGCTTTATCAGGTTGAGTAATGTACATCAGGTGTTTAAACAAGATAGCACATGAAGAGATTGAAGTCTTGTGTTTTGAGTGTGATTCGTGTGTGTGTGTTGCTGTAGATGGATGGACTGACTACTGCTGTTACAGGTTAGAGGTTGAGCCCTCCAGCAGGGAGGAATCGGATTGACCAGTTCAAAACAACCAATGTGATCAGAGTCCTCTGACAAAGCATCAGGGTTATAGAGTGTGTGTGTGTGTGTGTGTGTGTTATGAGGCTGAAGGTGTTAGCTGCTGAGGTAAAGGTTGTGAAATGAACGGAAAAAGACAGGAAGCCTTTGACAGCCCAGTGACCAAACACAAGATTTATCATGACCTGTGAACCGGGAAAAGCTTCTTCTGCCACTTATTATAGTGTGTGTGTATATGTGTGTGTGTGTGTGTGTGTGTGTATGTGTGTGTACATATCTGTGTGTGTGATAGTGCTTGCGTGTTTGTGTGCATGGGCTGCCTCCTTGATATTTTCTTCCCCGACGCTCCATCAAGGGGATTGCACCTCTTCAAGTCTAGCCTCACATGCCCCCTCACTCTAAAAGTCTGTGAAAAAAAGAGGCTTTTTGTCTGTGTCTGTTTCCTTGTGTTTAATGGAATGGAATAATAGGATGAAACTACTGGTGTCTTGTGATCCAGGTTTTCTATCTTACACACAGGACAAAGTTGTTCAGTTTTACTCTGATTTGTTGACTAGACTTATAGTGTGTGTGTGGCGCTTCACATTTTTATATTGTGCTTTCTTTAACAAGGTAGATTTTTTCAATGAATGAAATAAAAATAAATAAATAAATATATTACCTAGAGGTAGACACGTACACATATCTGCTGGCTGATGTATTGTTCAGACGATTTTGGCCTACTAAATATCAGCAGTTGGTCAGGTACTCTACCGCAGAGGTAATACATGTTATGCTCTACACAGTCTATAACTCTTGTTGTCTTGCACTTGACAGATTATTCATGCTAAAGGATTAATTTTCCCCAGGCAGGTTTTCCCCGTTTCATGGATCAGGTCATGATTTAAACCTGCATGAACATAATTTTTTGGCCTCTTGGGGGCAGCAGAAACAATCTGTAAACACAACACTAGACATATTACCACCTTTAAGGATGATATTGGAACCTATTAGCAAAAGGTTGGTTGTTTACCAGCAGTTATGGAGCAACATTATCACCCACTTTAAAGCAACTTAAAGAAAGTTTTATTTTGTGTTGATTTTGGCGGCCCCTTGTGGACAGAAATGAGCACCACTGCCTGCTTTGTTAGGTTTCAAGATACATCTCTGGGATGCACTGGGATGCGCTGGGATGCATCATCAGTGATGTTCCTGGGGTCATAAGGGGTTTTGGGTCTTTCAACATCAGACCCCCTCACCCAGGTGACCCATCCGGGGTTTATCAAGCCCCGCATTGCATCCCAGCAGCGGCAATGGGCTCGCCCTCTTTGTCCAAAGCCACCGAGTGGCTTTCTCTGTGGCTTCAGTAATGATTAAAATGGCCCTCCTCATTGCAGCTCCGGCTACTCCTAGCCCTGCCAGTGCTTTACAGATTGAGCGCCCAGCAAATCCCAGGCAGCCCACTTCAGGTGGCTCGCAGAAAACTTATTTTTACTTTGATTTTCTTTTTTAAACACAGCTGTTTGCAGGATGCAACAGTGAGGTACCGGTATCTATTTTTGGCTATGTAAGATTAATAACTGTGATGTGACAACAGTGAAACAAACTAAATTCTGTTTTAGCCACCAATGCAAATTTATATAATGATGTCAAACCATGTTGTACAATATATTTCATAAATAAAAATGACATATTTTATATAGAGCTGCACGATCAATTGAAATATTATCAAAATTAGACTAATCACATCATTATTGTTATATTTTTTCCAGTGAAAGTGAAATGCAAAGATTATTACTCTTGCTAAAATTTTATTATATTTTATTTTATCTTATTTTATTTTATTTATTCATTTATTTGCATATAGCCCAGTGGAAGAGGGCCAATTCAGGATTGGCTTTGAATCCTTTCAACTCTCACAATTATGTTCATCTGTTGAATGACTAAGGTTGGGTCCAACTTTCACCTGCACTTTATCGCTGTCCCTTTTACCTTTTTTTGTTATTTGGTCAATTCTTTTCTTTTCTCCTTGCTGAGCTGCTCCAGTATCAGCCATCACCACAAAATATAATGTCAAAAATAAAAGTCTCTAAAAACAAATCTCCTCCTGCTTCTTTTTAACTTGCTAAGCTACTACTTACTGCGAAACTTTGCCATGAAAACATAATAAGCTCTTCCGGTCCATGGCAAGAATTAAAAATAACTATATTGAAATAACCAGTCTTCTCACTGATGGTCTGGTTTATTTATGTGGGTCACACCGAGGCATCAGCATAAAACTGAAACTGTTTAATAACCAGTTAAAAACTCCTTGTAGCTGCTTTAAGTCCTGTTTCTGTTCCCCTCATGAATGTAGGTCTGTGGTTCAGTCACTGTGAGTGACCGCGCTGCCATATTGGTTATAGCAGCTTTAAAGGAATGGATTGACATTCTGGAACGAGATTCAAGGCAGCCAGCAGGGGACTGTGAGTGGGACCGAGCTGGCAGGCATGAGGAATCACAGATGGATTTTCAAAAAGATGATTTTATTTACCCGAAAATGAAACAAAATATTTTTAAAATATGCAGCAAAATTATGGGCTCATAAAAGAGGTCAATTTAACAGAAACTCAGGCTATAATAATTTAACATAAACTGAACAGACTAAAGGGACCTAACGATCACAAGAAGCTGACCACAAGGAGAACATATGGGATGGCTGGTCAGACCATTTTTAAAGAGGGTAACACAAAGACAAACACTACCACCCAAACTATGAATTATACAAAAACAGGGCAATTGGTCTACCAGTATAGTCTGTCTATATAAAGTACACATTATTGGTCGGTTTCGTCAGGTTTATATATTTCATTTACATTGAAAATTTCCATCCAGATGAGTCAGATACTTCTAACATAAACCAAAAAAGTACCACACTTGTAATTAATCAAATAATCAAATAAAACTGAGATGAATACTTTGGGAATTTATTTAACTATTACTCATATAATTTATCAAATTTACCTTAATAAAGGTTATTTAATTACTGTTGATATGTTGTATTTCATAGATACTTATTTGAATTTGATAAATGTATTTCAAATGTGTTAATAAATATCAACATATGTCATGGTCTTTTCATTTGAGTTTTATTTGATTTTATCACATAAATGGTAGTTTTTTGGTTTATGTTAGAATTACTTAACTCAATTGGATGGACATTTTCTGTGTCTTATTATGATTTGTAAACCTGACAGAACAGATCAAAGGTTTCTTTGAGTGAACAAACTAATATAGTCTAAAGAAAAAAACAAAACTCCAAACTAGAAACCCCAATCTCCCCTTGAGTTTGCAGGCACTTGGTATATCCTGATTGGCTACTTCCTGTATTTAACAGCTCTGTTTTAGTGGGTGCATCTTTTGTTCCAGCCTGAAAACATGTCCTTCCAGCAGCACCTTCAGCACTGGTAACTCAAAGAAAAACAAATTAGAGCAATTTAATACAAAGTATAACTGTACAGAAGTTAAGTAAATGTGCTACTCATAGAAACTCACATACTGCCAACAACATAACATTAACTAGGAGTGTGATGTATGAAACTAAAGCGATGTGCAGCAGGTGCGGCCATCACAGGACTCCAGGAAGTTACTCATCATAGCCAAAAAAAGTCTGTCACATAACCTCTCATAAGAAAGAAAGTTGGTGTTTTTACACTTTCAGTTCTGTTCACATCAGTGAGCTTTAGAAGTGGTGGTAGGTGGATTTTCTTACCTTTGGACAGTCAGGTCAGCTGTTTCCATTCTTTATGTTAAGCTAAACCAGCTATAGTTACATATTTACCACACAGATATGAGTGCATTTCAATCTTTTCATCTAACTCTCAGCATGAAGGTGAATAAACTTATTCTTTAAATGTTTAACTCATGGGTGGATTATGAGACAGTGGACCCCTGGGCAAAGATGTGCAAAAGAACTCACCATATCTCCAAATTAGGAGTCAAACACATAGAATTTTAGGTGGTTTTGCTTCTTTTTTGGGTGTTGTTTTGCATCTTTTTGTAGATGATATGCATCTTTTTCTTATTCCGTGTTTCTGTTTTGCATTTTTGTGTCTCCTATTGGTTGTTTTGTGTCACTTTGTTTTCTTTTTTGTGTCACATTTAAGTCATTTTGTGTCTCTGTGAGGAAATTGTGTGTATTTCTTGGTCATTTTCTGTCTCTTTCCAGTTCCTTTGCATCTCGTCACAGTCATTTTGAGTTTCTTCCTGGTCGATATGTGTTAATGTGAGTAACATTTTGTAGGTGAAGGCCAGGGGGGCCCTGACACTTGGGGCCCCTGGACCTGTGCCCATTAGGCCTTTTCGGCAATCGATCCATATGTTGAACTAACTAAGAGCTTCTAACCCAGAAACGGAGAATGTCATGTTAGTGAGTAGGTCTGTAATTCAGTTGAATTTCTACTTTTTGAAAACTTTTTGAGTTGTTTGGCATAAATGTGCTCAAATGTTAAAATGGTCAAAAGCCATAAAGTATATTTTTGTTTATAGAAGAATGAGACAATCTCAGTAAAGATTTGAATAATCTACTGTATATGTTGCTTTCTGCCCTTTTATTCTGAGTGGGTGTTCAGACTGAACGCAGCCGTGCGTTAAAACAGTGCAAGGGGCCGTGTTGGTGGTTTTGCTACAGGTTCCTGTGAGACAGTAAGTTTTAGTAAGAGATACAGGCTTATCAGAGACTAAAATAAATATCAAATAGCCTATAATACGAGGTAGGATTTTAAAGCTTTGGATAGTCGTCCCTGTAGCAATCATTTTATCTTTTGCTTGACTTTTACAAAGTAAACTGTGGTGCAGTGCCTTGACGGATGATGTTGCTTTGTGGCAGAGGATAAGCAAGGTTTCTTTTCTTTCAGTCTGACAGTCCTTCGTTGTTTCGCCTTGTCTACCGCATCTACATCTTGTTTAATACTAACCCCAGGGTCATCAAAGCCACAGATGTTGAAATCCTGCCCTTGTAGCTGTATATATCAGAAGAAACTTAAGAAAAAAAAATTAAAATCAGCCTTTAATGACCCTAATCAGTTGACTGTAATACTCACCTGGGCGTCCCTCCTGTGTCTTGTCCTCAGCTGCGGGGCGGCCCTCGTGGCCGGGATGCCACTGTGTGCCGTGCCAGTCCACAGTGGACGGTGAGGGGCAGGAGGAGGGGACCGAGTGCAGGAGACTGAGAGGAGGCGGCCCGCACCAAACAGGAGAAATGAACCTCTGCTGGAACGAGATCAAACGCAAATCCCACAACATCCGGTAAGAGGAAATTCATTGTGGTGTTTACTGTAACGGTCTGGAGGGATGATGTTTTCAGAGCCAAGATGCATTTGTAAACTTCAGAGGTGATCGTCTGTTCTGTGGCAACAATAGCTGTAAACCGCTGATTGTTTTTCTGTGAAGAAGTTGGCTCAAAAGAAAAAGAAATGAAAAGGTTGATTTATTTTTATGACTTTGTTCAGAGCACACGTAATTTTCACAAGGAAACATCTGATCAGTTTCAGCTTCACTCAGTTTGTTTGTTCGCCTCTAGCAAGCCATGACTGTCTTTTTTTTTTTTTTAAACACAATCTGGTTGACGGAGATTCACTGAGTTTAAGGAGCGGTCTACTGAATGAAACCCCCAGCATTTCTGTGGAACACAAAACTAAAAGCCAAAACAACTTCCTGTGTCTTTATAACCCAGTTTCTGTAAATTGTCCACACACCCAATTGGTAAAGAGATGTGTAATGGAACTAATGGATGAGTCTGATGGCTTTTGGCTTTAAGTCCCATCCCTCTCCAGACACCTTTTAAAGCAGTAGTTCCCAACTGGTGGGTCGCGGTCCAAAAGTTGGTCATGGGTCCATTCTGAATGGACGGCAAATGACTTATAAACGTGTCAGGTTTGTAAAAAACACACCATATTTTAAAGTACAGTGAATTTTTGGCACAAAGCCTTTATTTTGAAGCCCAATTTCCTGCTGTAGGGTAAGTGAATAATGAACAGCTACTTAACAGAGACAGCAAACTAGCTCGACAACACGACCAAACACAGTTATGACACTGAAAATGATAAACTGTGAGGACCTTGAACTTAGGACTAAGGAGAAATCTGGACCCCGTGGCCACACAAGTTGGGAACCACTGTTTTAAAGTATACTAATATATGCTTATGTTTAACATAGTTTTACCACATAGTAGATAAATAAAATCTCTGAAAAGGGTCTGAAAGCAAATCTACTTTTCCTCCCTTAATGAGAAACTGGCTTGCGGGAAGTTTCACTTTTGTTTTCCGCTTTCTCTGGCACTGCTGATGCTTGGTTGACAGGTGAAAGAACTGTGTGCCTCACGATGGCTAGCATTAGTGTTAGAGGAAACATCAGAGAGATTCAGCCCTACATGTGTAAGCCTCACTCAGACTCTGATGAGTGATGTTGTGATCCAAGATGTGTCACAATAGTAAGTATGGTTAGCATCTTTTGTTTATGTTGTTTCTTAGCTTGTTAGCTTGTAGGCTAACTGGCAGTTGCTGACGCAGCCTTAGTGGTTGTTAAACACACGATAATATCTACAACAATAAGGTTATTTGTAGACAGTGGAGGGAGGGAAGCTCCACGGCCATGTTTACATCCCAAAACTGCCCACTCTACCACGTTTGCTGTCAGAAGTTTTGCTATGCTAATGCTAACTCTGCTCCCAGTACTGTCAAGTCCGCTTTACCTGTCGGTATGTGTTTGCTATATTAGACAGCGATTGGCTTTTGTGTCAGCAGTGTACCAAATTTAGTTTGCCCAGCTCACATTTGAATCTCAGATTTTATGGAAATGCACAAACATCACCACCTGCAATAAAGGAATGTGAAACATGTCTCTAGTGACAAACTCTGCACAGATACAAGTCAGTGTAGTGAAGGTCAGACATTTTAGGAGACATAACAATAAGAAAAACACATTTTTAGTGGAGGGGGACTTTAATCAAAGTTATTATTTCATACAGAACTCATTTCTCTGTGAATTAATACTTTTTAAGCCAAATATTATGCAAGAATTGTGCTTTTAATTACTGTGGCAGTTGTCCTTTTATGATTGAATCTGTGGGGAGACACTATGCTAATATGTTTAGGTTTAAGTCACACAGGGAAATAGAGCCTAATGATGTCTAACATCTATATATATTGTCTGTCTTTCTGTTTGTTTTCCATTTTCCTCCGACGATTCTTCTTGTCGCCATTTACATTCGGTTTTTAGGCAATTAAAAAAGTATTGTCTAATAATGTGCTGTCACACAATAATGCATATTTCAGTGCTCCTTCCAGTCAGCTTATTAATTATGAATATAATATGGGTTAATACTGCCATTGCACTAGTTACACTCGAGAGGTTTGCCAGTGTAAAACAATTAGAGGGCGTTCGTGTTATTCTTTGATGCTTAATTGGAAACTGTCCAGGCTTGCCGCATCATTTCTGTTTCTTCAATTCAACTGGCATCCTGTTTAGACAATTGGCCCCTTAATTGCTTACTTGACCCTGATGTATCTAGGAAGAGGGAGGGGGAGGTTAAGGAAGGATAGTTGTGAAATTGGGTAAGACAGTTTCCCCTGCAGTCTTGTGTAATGAGATCACTATGGATGGCCTGCAGTGGCTGTTTATACCAGAGCTGCACTCTGACTTCATCAGGCTAAGAGAGAAAGGGAAGAATAAAGGATGGAGTCGATGGAGGGAGGGAAGGAGGGAGAGAGAGAGAGAGCAGACAGCTGGTATTAAATCATCACAGAGGAGAGATGGGATGCGGGTAAATGGGAGGAGCAGAGGGAAAGAAGAATATAAGAATGAATGAATGAGAAAGAGCTTCACTGAAAAGCTGTCTAACCTTGAGGGTGATGCTGTCCAGAGGAAATGTCTGACTGCGTTTAATACCGGTGGCTGGACAAGTGCAGACGACTGGCTTTATAATGGCCTGTCTGGCATTGATTGACAGGTGGCTGGGGCTCTGTTCCAAGTCATAGCTGCTGCCTTCTATCCTTTAAATTGTTGTGTAAATTAAACTTCCTCTGTTGTACTTTTGTAGTTACTTCTTAAACAGAGTTTGCAGTAGGGATGCACCGAATATTCAGTAACCGCATAACTTGTGTGCGGTGACGCACAGAGTAAAATGTCAGCAGTGTGGCGATATTTTACTCCGTCCGTCACTGCACTCGCATTTGCAACTAAAAATAGTTTTGTTCGAGCAAAATAAATCATTCAGCACGCTGTGCGAGTACAGATTTGAACCAGCAGCAGAAACGAAAGGCGAATCCCGCCGGTTGTGGGTTGAACAGGGGTCACAGACACAGACAGGAATGTATTCCTTTCAAATACGGTGGCCATAGGCTTACCGGCAACAGAGAAGTCCAGCTCCAATAATGTCCTCTTCTTGGCATCATGACTGCCCAGTAGTACTTGGACAGCCGAGCCATGGCGGCACACAGGTATGTGATGTGTCAGAGGAGAAAGGAGCTGTTCACATTTCTCTCTTTGTGGCAGTAACGGCCCACAAACCTCAGCACACTGAAGGGACTGTTCTTTACTTATGAAGTGTTGGACTAAGAGTCTCATCCTACTCTCCAGTGTGCTATGTGTGAGCTCAGTCCTGTGTGTTCTTTAATGAAGCAATAGGAGAAGATATTCGGTCTCAGTTAATGTAGTTTATTAAGCAGTAAAGGAATAAAATTACAGAGCTCTGGGTCTCAACTTCACGTCCCTGACGAACAACAAAGGTGTGTCAGTTCACGAAGTCTGACCTCCTGTCCTTCCCCTGACCCAGTATATTTGAACGTAACAGAGTGTCATTGTGCACGCAAGGCGTTGTCCTCTTCTCATTGGCAGTTCCACTTCCTCCTTCACCACACCACGCCCCTGCCTCCTGTTAATCTGACTCCTTCCCGCTGGCGGTGGGGGCGTGGTTCCTGTTTTGAAAGACAAGAGAACAACACAACTCCCTACACGTGCTGTACCTTACTATCTGTTCATCACTTTCTATTCTTTTTACCATATATGAAACTAATTATCTAAGCATTGCGGTATGTGCTCCTCAGACTTCATGTCTCTTCCTCTCCTGTACTTCTCCACTTCTGCAAAGCAAACACATTCAGATCAGCTGAAATCATCTCAGTATTCTCATTGTTCACACATCTAAAACTTATATAGTGAAACACAACTTATAGTAAAACACATAAAATCATTCTATTCCCAACAGAAGGGACTTGTCAGGGGAGGAGGGTGGCTGGTTGATTTTTCTTTTATTTATTTATTTATTTTATTTTGATCCCCGCTATGTTAATCACTTATTGATGCTGTTTTTGAAGTATGAATGAGTTACTAAGTAATTTATTCCATTGAAATATCATTGATGTATTATAGAAAAGTGATTTATCTTTTTATAAATGACCAAAGGCACATCTGCCTCATTTTCGCTGTGGTATTGTGATACTACTCAGAACCATGATATTTTCACTGGTATCGTACCGTGGGTCCCAATATTGGTACCCTGACAACACTAATCTGGAGGGGGTTCATCTGCAAAAACTAATGAAAAACTAAACAACGGTACTCGGTATTCGGCCAAGCATTTAATTTTATTCGGCTTCGGCCACAAATTTTCATTTCGGTGCATCCCTAGTCTGCAGCTATGCTCACAGCGCTGTGAGTCTATACTGAGGCACAGAGCTGCTTTGAGCTCAATGCCAATATCAGCACGCTAACATGCTCATAATGACAGTGCTGACATGCTGATGTTAAGTTGGTAGAATGTTAACCACACTGACAATCTGAAATAACCATGTTAGCATGCTAATATTTGCTAATATATTTTCACCTGAGGCTGAAGGGAATTTCATTAGTTGTGCAAACCCAGTTGTCAGAATAAATGCTAGCATTGTATGTTAATGCAAACCAGGGATATTTTAAATTTGTATGTTTAATATGAAGCTTATATGTGGATACTTGAAATTTGTTACACTTTGATTAAAATGTTAAGCAGTAACAATGCTGCCGGTGACATGTGGTAGAGTGTAGGAAGACCTTATGTTGTGGCTTAAAATAGGTGGTTGGGTTGCTGCAGCCATGGCTGAAATCATCCCCAACTCTAGTTACAAAAATACCTGCTTTTGTCACCACAAACACAGCTGGAAATGTCCCAGACTTCAGGGAAAAATACTTGCTTTTGTGGCTACGAGCATGGCTACAAATGTCCTGAATTCCTGCTTCTGATGCAACAACCATGGCTGGAAACATCCTGA